TTTCACCTGAACCTCTCAAACGCCTGACCTGTCATACCTGCCAGTGTATTTCTTTTCAGCACTATCCCATTACTTTTTATCACTCACGAAATTTTTAAAAATTACAATGCAAATTCATGCCAGGCTCTATTAGTGCTCCAACTACCAACAGTGATGGTAAACCAATTCTTAAGTCTAATTTTAGAATCTGCTTCCTAAGACCCGTGTTATTACTATACTATGGGCAGACTTTGCTGAAGGTTGGTCATTGTTGGATTATTCTAACTTGTATCATTGCTAAAAATATATAATTTGTTGAATGTCACTAAGTGCTAGAGATGATGGTAAATGCTTTGTGTATATCAACTCTTCCTTTCAACAGTACAACACAGTTATTATTATTTTAGCTGAAGCTTAGAGAATTTAAGTCCTTCGTCCAAGTTCTCACTGTTTGTAAATTAACAGCTTCTGGGGTGATCTGTCCTCAAAATTAACGCCCTCCAAATACTGTGCCAGAGGGCCTTGTTAGAATAAAATAAACTACATGATACTATTAAGTTTATGTAATCTAAAATCTTTGTATTCTGAAAATATATTATTATTTTTACTGATGCTCAAGCCTTGATGTCTTTCTGCCCAGGCACATACCCGAGATAGATTCCAAGATGCACTAAAATATCATCCAGATACAAGATAAGTTCTGTTTAAAAAAAAAAAAATACTTAATGTATTTAATAGTACTAGGAAAAGAGGATGGATGGATTAAGAGCACCAAAAAAATTTTTAGAGTCCACTCATTAAAAGCCATAATTGAGGAGGGAAAGAAAGAAGGGACCACACAAACACTCAGCCCAGATGATTAACTTTATCTCTATCTCAGCAGCACAGGGAAAAGTAGCCAAACCAAGTCAACAAGAATGCATTTCTCATGATGAAATATGTTGTTACAGACTCTGTAACATTTGGCTCTATTTTTCAGGAGGACTAGCAAAAATTTTAGCCAACCACTATATAAGTAAAAAATAAGCAAAAGAAGATACAAATATATGCTGCAAGTACTTACAAACAACAAAACAGCTGAAAAAGTCAGGTAAAAGTGATTTTTACTCAAATTGAGTTTAACCCTGGAATGAGACTGTTGTCTCCTCTATTACAGACTGCATAGACATGCAAGCCAATGGTTTTAATTAGATTGGTGCAGTACACAGGCTGGCTTCCATATCAGATCAGTTGGCTGATACCTGGTCCAGCGTATTACAAAATAAGTAGGCAGATATTATAGATTTCCTGAACAGATCAAAAATTTATTCTGCCCCTATAAATACTCCTCTGGAAAATTACGTAAAGGAGTTACTTTTATGTGGGAACAACATGTGTGTTCTCTTTCAGTATCAGAAGCCTTTATGAGAGGTGAAGCCAGCTGGACTTCCTGGGTTGAGTGGGGACTTGGAGAACTTTTCTGTCTAGCTAGAGGATTGTAAATGCACCAATCAACGCTCTGTAAAAACACACTAATCAGTGCTCTGTGTCTAGCTAAAGGACTGTAAATGCACGAATCAGCACTCTGTAAAAACGCACCAATCAGCGCTCTGTGTCTAGCTAAAGGATTGTAAATGCACCAATCAGCACTCTGTAAAAACACACCAATCAGCACTCTGTGTCTAGCTAAAGGATTGTAAATACACCAATCAGCACTCTGTAAAAACGCCCCAATCAGTGCTCTGTGTCTAGCTAAAGGATTATAAACGCACCAATCAGCACTCTGTAAAATGGACCAATCAGCAGGATGTGGGCAGGAGCAAACAAGGGAATAAAAGCTGGTCATTTCAGCCAGCAGCAGCAACCCACTCAGGTCCCCTTCCACGCTGTGGAAGCTTTGTTCTTTCGTACTTCACAATAAATCTTGCCGCTGCTCACTCTTGGGATCAGCACTACCTTTATGAGCTGTAACACTCACCATGAGGGTCTGTGGCTTCGTTCCTGAAGTCAGTGAGACCACGAACCCACCGGGAGGAACAAAGAACTGTGGACACACCACCTTTAAGAGCTATAACATTTCTCCCCTACCTTTAGGCTACTTCAATCCAACCTCATGGGATTTTTTTTTTTAATTAATGAAATTTGACAGTCAAGAGTCACTTTTTACTGACAGAGAAAGAGAAGTTAGAGAGGAAAGTGATTTCTGTGCTTGTGGATACAGACATTCTCCAGCCTGGCTGAAAGGTTATTTTCTTCACTTATTTTTCCTTTACTAGTCATCTAGTCATTTTCTCCTTTCAAATAATTACATGAATAAACAAGTCATTCAGTTACAGTCTAACTCAAATTTTTTTGTAATAAAAAAATGGAATTACATGTTAAAATTCTCCTCACTGGTCTTGAAAAAGCAAATAGGATCTCTCTAGGAAATTTAGCAGTCAGCTATACATTTTTATAGCTGCAAAGATACTGGTATAATCTCTTTGGTATTACCCAAATAAGAACCATAGAACTGAGTAATCTACAAGATTTAATTAAAAACATATTATGTCCCACTGGGACTTTTTTCCACATCACAGACGTAAGCCTTGTAAAATGCAGAGCATTTAGTAAAATTTTGGTTCAATGTTAACATCACAGTCTGTGAACCATTTTGCAAGATTTGGTCCAGACAACAATGATAATAAAGAAGACCTTCCATCTGTAATTTAATAAAGTACAAGAAATAATTACCACTAAATTGTTGTCTCAAATAAAGTACATATAAATACTGTTCAATATGTTTATTATTATATATATAGTACCTCAGGAACAATACTTACATGAACTTAACATCTCAACATCTGAGACACTATATAAAATTGCTGAAAATCATTGAACACTGGAGAATGTATGCCCACCCACCCCCAACAGAATGATGTTCAATATTGAACAAGGGTCATATTATACAATACTATTTACCCATACTAGTAGAGATAAGCAGAGATCATTCAAAAGAGACTAGCCAAAGCCTTTATACTTAATTGTAAGGTTATTGTAAGAAGTTTCCCCATAGAGTTACTTTTCTCGAAATATTCTATTTAGTTTCGAAGGGGAAAATTTTTCAGACATCAATTTGATTTCGCCTGTATTTCTAGTCATTCGTATAACTTTCTCTCTCAAAAAGAAAAAAAAAAAAAAACCTTACTTTCTTTTTTATGTCAATGTTGTTCACTAGGTGTTATTAATCCTTAATGTGTTAATGATCTTCCTTAGGATAATGTTCTCAACTCTTCATTAGAAGAAGAGTCAGTTCTCCAATTACCAAAATTAATTCTTAGTATACAACACGTTCTTAAGTCAGTTGATTTGATCTTGGAAATAATGTCCCCAGAGAAACAATCTTGTAAGTGGTGGTTTTGTTCCCAGCCAAGATTATACAACCAACATAAAATGAAATTCACTACCGCATCTTTCCACCAAGTGTGGTGCTTTTTAGTAGTTAAGCACATCCGCTCCTCCAGGTAGGGGATAGAAATGCAGTTGTCCCAGCTTCACAGTGAGAGCAGAGAATTTCTGCTCTGGTCACAGTAGCTCAGAGTGGGGATCCAAGGATGTCCAGGGGCAGGCTGCTCTCCCGGGAGCTGCCCCCATGAAGGAGCTCCTTGCTGGGAGCAAAGGGAGCCTCAACCAAGGGCTTCACAGCTGCTTCTGCTCTGCTCCCTGTAAAGAAGGCTCTCAAGCAGCAGCCCAGGAGACTCTTTACAGTGAAAACTAGATCTTGTGGCTTTTTATATCAAAACTCTCCAAGGTTTCCCATCACACTTTGAAAAAAAATTCTAAGTCCTTAACCAGACCGGCATGATCTTGCCACTGACCCCTTCCCTGGTCCATTTCCTGGCAGTCTTCCCCGCCTCCCCACCCCATTCACTCTGCTCCAGTCACTCTGACCTCCCTGTAATTTTTCAAACATTTCAAGCATGTGCCTACTTCAAATCCTCCGTCCCTGCTGATTTCTCTACCTGGAAAGCCCTCCTCTAAGAGGAGACATGGCTGACTTCCTCACCGAATCTCCATCTCTGCTCTAATGTCACCTTCTTGGAGGAAGAGATCTTCTCTGGTGGCCACAAAATAGCATTCCAGACACAATCGATTGCGCCACTTCATTTTTTATCACAGCACTTAATACTCTCAGAATCATATTATATATTTGCTTATCTTCCTTAGGATACTGTAAGCCCCATTAGGGCAAGAAATTTTTTTTACCGCTTTATTTTCTTAAACAGTGCATTGCTCGTAGTACATATTTCACCATATGTGTTACATAGATGAATGAGCAGTTTCACTGCTCATTCAAAGAACATTTCAGAGAAAATATTCACAAATCACAAGCCTAAAGTTAAAATTGGCCTCTATCACCTCAAAATTTACCAGCCAATCCCAGAGAATGGTTGTTGGCCATACAATAACTAAACATTTCTCTGAACAAAGAAAAGTCTGGAAAATTAACAACCAGTGATTTTTTAAATGAGTGTATGGAAACTTTCGTCTTATCACTTTGTGCTCTGATTGTAACCAGAAACGCAAATTGCTATCTAAAACTGCACTCTCCCTACTGCTATATATTTTCCAAATTGTGCATATCTATATAGTCTTCCAAAGTTCTTGGCTGAAATGGCAGTTACTTAAAGCTACTGGAATTCCCGGATGCAGCATCTTCGCCTTCATCACACTGCAGCCTTTAAGGCTTAGAGAGACACATTATACTCAACAGGAGTGAGGACTGCTAATGGTGGAGTGACAGAATGTTAAACCTGAGACACCTAAGAAGCTATTTGATCAGTCGCCTAAATTTATATATAAGCAGATCAAGACCCAAAAACAAGAAGCCACTGATGAACATTTACTATTTCATTAAACACTTTTATAAAAAGGTTTTGGTTATAAGACATTATTTACCATTTTCCCCATTTTTGTTGATTTACAAGGGTCTTAGTTTCATGCTGCTATAACAGAATATCACAGACTGAGTAATTTATAAGGAAGAGAAATTTATTTCTCACAGTCTGGAGGCAGGGAAGTCTAAGATCAGGGCGCCAGCATCTGATGAGGGACTTCTTACTGTGTCACCCGGCCTGAAGAAAAAAGAGAAGGCAAGAGAGAGCAAGAGGGGGCTGAACTCATCCTTTTATGAGGAATCCACTCCTGTGAGAATGGCATTAATCCATTCATGAGTGCAGAGATCCCCATGATCCTAACACCATTCATTATGTCCCACCTCCTAACACCATTGAATTTGTGATCAAGTTTCTTACTCATCAATGTGTCTACTTACTATAGACACATTCAAACCATAGTAACAAGCATAAACTTGTTTTGTTTATTTTCCAATTGTTTGTTTAATGAACAACTCTTTAGAACCTGTTGTAGTGAATGGCTGTTGATTTTTGCCTGCTTGGTAACCCTCAGTTCCTCCCCAGACACACACAGCTCTAAATCACTAACTTTTTCCACATCTTGAGGCTAAGTCCTTGGATGGAGCTGAAACCGTCCTCAGATACAGAATGCCTCTGTAGTTCTTAGTTAGTTTCATGCTGCTATAACAGAATATCACAGACTGAGTAATTTATAATGAAGAGAAATTTTTGAACAAAGAAAAGTGCCCTGATAATAACCAGAAATGCAAAAATGCTATCTACAACTACATTCGCCCTACTCCTACATATTTTCCAAACTACAGATCTATGTAGTCTTCCAAAGCTCTTGGCTCAAATGGCAAGGTTCAGATTGGAAAATTGCCTCTGACCCTAGACTTGCTAACTGGGGAATAGACTAGCCCTCTCCACAGTAAATGGTTTGTGGATGAATACATGACCCAATTAGCACTAATTGCAGGACTCAGAAGTCCAACTTACAAGAGTCAACAAGAGAGGAAAATTCAGTGGGCCACCAGGGGGAAGCCTACTTGAAAAGTTAGCCAACACAATTAAAAGCAGAGACAGGAGATGGAATGAACTATCCAGCTACGTGTACACCTTGATTTTTCTGTTACTTCGGTCAATACACTGAGCTGAGTTTTCTGCCACATGCCACCAAAAGTATATGAACTAAGAAATAACTGCAGAGTGTTGTATAAATGTACAGAAGAAAACAAATACAGGGTTATAATATAGTATTTGAACACACAACAATAGAGCTTTCCACATTGGCTTGCCTTCAGTAAAGATGACCAGCCTTCTAAAACTGGAAGCAGTACAAATATATAGTTAGTAAGTTTCTTGGCTCTGGTTTAAAGCAAGGAATCTACTGCTTGAGTTTTAATCATCTGCATTTCTTCTTCTATCCCAGTCTCTAAGAGAAATAAATGCCAGTAAATTGTTCTAGAAAAAAAAAAACCTCGTGGATCAAACTTCCATTTTTACTGGCGTGTAAAAAAGTTTTTAATATAAAAAGATACTATAATTATTTAAAACTGCAGCTGCAAAAAAATTAAGGTCAATTGGAAGATTTGTTTTTATTCTTAAGGCAAATAAATAGATGACTGTAACAATTGCATATATAACTATCCACAGTTCCTGTGACCTACAAATGTAGCTACAGAAAAGGTGCTGTCCAGCATAACAGCTTTCAGCTAGGCAGAGTAATAGTGCCCAGCCAGAAAAGTTCAATTTTCCCTTCTCTGTGTGGGATCACTCACCTAATAGAGCTGGAAATAATAATAACTAGCAAAACAAAATGGAAAAGGTACACCGAGATAAGAGCTTTCCAATTTGAACCCTGTTTAAAAGGGAGGATATAGTAAAAATTCTTTTTTAGCAACACATTTTCCCATCCCGAAGAGCTTTGGAAGGTTTAACGTGCTCTCAGTTTTCTCTGGAGGGCCACAGTCCATGAGTCATTTGGCTAAGTAATCTGTGTTCCAGACTTTTCTTTACTCAGAAGAATGTTTAGTTATTGTATGGCCAACTACTCCTATTTAGCTAACTTACCTTTCCCAGGCATTGACTGGGAAATTGAATTCAAGCATTTATTTGAAGTCTGACTGGAGGTAGAGTCATAGTTGCTATGATTATCCATGGCTGTGTCTACGTAGAAACAAAAGTTCTGCTTGTAAACGGTAATGTAGAAAATTAAATCAACCCAAAGAGTTCAGTCGAAAAAAAATACTCTTACTTTTTTAAGTAAGTAAATTGATACCAGTGTGTTTTTACTATGAATTAGGTGGAAAGCTTCTTTACTTTATTTGTATTCTTTACTTATATTTGTAAAAACAGCAAAAATTAATGGAATGTTCTATTAATTCAGAAGTGGATTGATATAATAAAGATGTCCATTCTCCCCAAATTGATATATAGCTTTAATGTAAATCCTAACAAAATCCCAACAAGGTGTTTCATAGATACAGACAGGTTTATGCTAAAATTTATACTAAAAGGCACAGGAAGCTGAAACAATTTCAAAAAAGAAGAAGAAAGTGAAAGGAATCACTCCACCAACTATTACAGCTTCCTATATAGATACAGTAATCAAGATAATGTGGTGTTAGTGGAAGGATAGGTGCATAGATCCACAGAACAGAAAACCTAGAAATAGTCCCACACAAATATGTCTGACTTTTTTTTTTTTTTAAGATGCAAAAGCCATCAATGGAAAAAGGATAGCCCTTTCAACAAATAGTGCTGGAGCAATTAGACATTCATAGGCAAAAACAAAAACAAAAAAAATCCTCACCCTAATCTTCATAACTTTTACAGAAATCAACTCAAAACGATCATACATTTAAATGGAAAAGTAAAATGATGAAAATTTTAAGAAAAATACAGGAGAAAATATTCAGGACCACAAGCTAAATGAAGAGTTCTCAGATTTGATACTAACAACACAATCTATTAAAGAAAAAATAAATAAATTGAGCCACATCAAAATTAAAATTTTTTGCTTGGCGAAAGTCTCTGTGAAGAATATGAAAAGACAAGCAGCAGACTAGGAAAAAGTATTTGTAAATCACATCTCACATCTCTGACAAAGGACTTGTAATATCAAATATATTTAAAATCCTCAAACTCAACAGTACTAGGTTCCACTTTGAGAATTGAAGGGCTTGAAGGACTCTTCAGACCTACTCCACAAAGAAAATCCATAACTAGTAAAATTACCAAAAAAACAAAAAACAAAAAAACAAAACCTCTGAGTTTCTGACATTTGAACTACAGCCCACTCTCACCACCCCCCTCTTACCTCAGTGAAACAGAAACTTCACTTCGGATGGGTACCGTCAAGTACATGTGACTCCTTCTCCCTTTATCTCCCCAGGAGGGGCAGTCCACCATCATTTCTCATCCTTTCTCCAGTTCCATGTTACAGAGGCTAAATTCCAGGTGAGTGCAGCTGAGCAGTCAGCAGCTCCCTTCCTTACCCAGCTTGTAGACTAGAGAGTCTTCCCTAGATAGGGCCCTAGATTCCAGCAAAAATACTAAGAAACTGGACCACTCGTGCATTGCTGACGGGACTGTATAATGATATAGTCATCCTGGAAAAGAGCATGGCAGTTTCTTACAAAACTAAAGATGCACTTACCATATGAACCACAAATTGCACTCTTGGACATTTATCCCAGAGAAATGAACATTTATGTTCACACAGACCCTGTACATGAATATTCATAGCAGCTTTGTTCATAATAGACAAAAACTGGAAACCACCCAAATGTCTTTCCATGGATGAGCAGTTAAACAAATTGTGGTTCATCAAGTCATAGACTACTATTCAGTAATGGAAAGGAATTGATACACTAATCAACTTAGATAGCTCTCAAGAAAATTACACTGAGTGAAGAAAAAGCCCACTAAAAGTCCATCTTAAAAGGTTACATACTATATAATCCCATTTATATTACATTCTTGACATGACAAAATAATGGAAAGCAAATTAATGGCTGCCAAGAATTGAAGTTAGGTGGCCACGCAAGGATAGCAGGAGGGTTCCTTACAATGGAATTCTTCTGTATATTGACTGTGGTGGTTGTCACATGAATGTACCCAGGTCATAAATTGCATAGGGCAAAATACATAGACAAAATACACAGACATCCAGCAGTGAGTGCATGGAAAGCTGGTGAAATCTGAATGTGAATGGCTTGTCTCCACATCAGTTTCTTGTTTGTGCTTTTGTATCACAGTAATGTAGAGATTACGATAGAGGAAACTGGATGAAGGGTACATGGAATTTCTGTGTATTATTTCTTACAACTGCATGTACATCTACAATTATCAAAATTTTAAAAAAGACATTACTACCATTTGAAACAGAAAATTGCCTTTACTTTGCCTTACTGTGGCCCTTTAAGAAATAAAAGACATGAAAAACAGTATTTGAGGGCTACTTTCTCCAGCTATGCTCTGTGACCGCTAACAAGTTGAGGAATTTGTTTTCGTTAATCATAAGTGTTGCCACAGAGGTGATTCGGTGCTGAGAAAGCACACGGTCAGTGGTGTCATGGGCGTGAACCGAGTCCTGGCTTTGTCTCCTGCACAAGCTGTGAAATAGAATATGTGACTTGCCTACTCTCAAAGTCAGACTTGTAAAATGGTGTAAGAATAATATCTAACAGAACTTTGTAAAAATTAACTGTGATTTGAAACATAAAGGTAAATAAATGGCCTTCGTAAAGGATTAAACAATTATTGCTGTGAAATTGAAATGAAGCCTCTTTCACCCCACTGTGAGTTCAATAAATATTTGTTGAATTGAATTGAGAGAAGCCCCAAAGGGAGAAGCAGGTGCTGGAAGCCCTACTAGAATCCAGACTGAAATCAGGGCCAAATCTCACAGCTCAGCACAATGGGCAGCGCAGAGGAAACATGTGATAAATGTCTGCTAATGTAATTAGCTAGTGAGATAGGGGCTGGGGCAAAGACAGTGTTGAACTAGTTCACCAATTTGCTCTAGTCTTGTCTTTATCTGTGTAAGGGTAACTGATGCGAAGCAATAAATTACTTAAATATGATAAAAAATGAAATAAAATAAAATAAATCTTAAAAAAAAAAAACAAAGAAAGAAATTGAAATGAAGCCACAGTGGCACTTCAGCACTTACCTAGCCAAATCCTGAATTTTATGGATGAGAAACCTGAGGTCAAGAAAAGTGAGTGTCTAGAGTGCCTCAGAGTAGACGTAGAGCAGCTTGTTAGATAAAGAGTGAGGGCTTTGGAAGACCAGTCCCCTTTTCATAAGAGAAAGATTTTAAACATTTGAAGGAAATCACCTACGATTCTACTTTATTTTTATCTCTTCACTGCACCTGGGAGATTCTACATATATTATTACTGTTTCATAAATGAGGACAGTTTCAATTACCAAAGCAAACTGCATAGGCAAATTCTAACAATATACTTTAATTTCATATTCCTTTCTTTGTCACACTGTTAGTCCCAATTTGAAAACCAGCAGTTTTTATTCCCTTCATCTCAACAAAAAGAGAGCAAAGTTCAGGATTTGTAGACTTTTGTTTCTAAATTTTCTTATGGGATAATATAATCAAACACCTCGGTAAGTTTTTATTCATTAAAATACAAATTCTGTCAGCTTAGCCACGGTCTTTACCTTTGGAAAATGAACTTTTTGTTCTTTTTATGGAAAGCTGAATAGAAACGTTAGGATTTTGTTTTATAGCAGTGTTTCATTCTCCAAGTCTACTCGTCTCAAGACTTTTTATAATGCATTACAGACCTGGATTTTTCCAGTTCTCACCTGAGCCAGTAATAACAAGTATATTTGCCTTTTTCTGAGCCCCTAGGCTAGGAATATATTCATCTTTATGTACACATGTTCTGATAACCTCATATAACTTTATGTCTTATTCTTTAACAAGTTTCTTTTGTAAGCCAGCCCTGCTGAAACAATAACCTTAAGCTCCCTAAGGGTTTCCACTACCATAATATCAGCTTTCCTGGACTTCACTGTGTCACTACAATTCCCCATGGCTGTGTAATAATAAAAACTACATGTACGGCACTTTAAATATTTCAAAGCATATTAACCCGTATCAGTTTTACCCTGTGACTCCTTGCCAATGTTATTTTTTTTCTGTTTAAAAGTGAGGTTGAAAACAGAGAGGAAAGAGACTGCCTGTGTTCTTAGGGATGGAGCCTTGGACCAAACAGCAGGGGTCTTTTGGACTCTGGCTCCATTTCTTCCCTGACTGGCAGCCAGTACTCACAACTTCTTGCTCTGAGCTTTCAAGAAGGCTGGATCAGTCACTTTAGAACAGACTCGACCTAGACAGTCTACCAAGGTAAAATGTTGTATCTCAGGAAACCATGGCCTCTCAGCTCCTAGGGTGTTCAATCATAAACTGAATGGCTAATTAAAGTGGATTCAGTCAAATGGGTGGTTAGACACGAAGACATGGAAGGTCATTTCTACTACTGACGTTCTGTGATTATAACAAAATACATTTTAAAGTCTAAACTACAATATCTTTTAGTAAATTGCTTTCTCATTTTCTTCTTCCTTACAGACTATGATTGTTAAAAAGTAGAAAACAACATGCAAAAGGAATTGAGTACAAAAAGCCTAATGGTGGCCAGGTGCAGTGGCGCACGCCTGTAATCCCAGCATTTTGGGAGGCCAAGGCAGGTGGATCACCAGAGGCCAGGAGTTTGAGAACAACCTGGCCAACATGGAGAAACTCCATCTCTGCCAAAAAAAAAATACAAAAAATAAGCTGGGCGTGATGCTGCATGCCTGTAATCCCAGCTACGCAGGAGGCTGAGGCAAGAGAATCACTTGAACCCGGGAGGCAGAGGCTTCAGTGAGCAAAGATCACACTGCTGCACTCCAGCTTGGGTGACAGAGCAAGACTCTGTCTCAAAAAAAAAAAAAGCAGGCTGGGTGTGGTGGCTCACGCCTGTAATCCCAGCACTTTGGGAGGCCAAGGCGGGCAGAACACAAGGTCAGGAGATCAAGACCATCCTGGCAAACACGGTGAAATCCCATCTCTATTAAAAATACAAAAATTACTTTGGGAGGCCGAGGCAGGCGGATTACGAGGTCAGGAGATCGAGACCATCCTCCTACAATGCGGTGAAACCCCGTCTCTACTAAAAATACAAAAAAAAAAAAAAAAAATTAGCCGGGCGAGGTGGCGGGCGCCTGTAGTCCCAGCTACTCAGAGCTGAGGCAGAGTGGGTGTGAACCCGGGAGGCGGAGCTTGCAGTGAGCCGAGATTGCGCCACTGCACACCAGCCCGGGCGTGAGCAAGACTCCGTCTCAAAAAAAAAAAAAAAAAAAAAAATTAGCTGGGCATAGTGGCACGTGCCTGTAATCCCAGCTATGCGGGAGGCTGAGGCAGGAGAATCACTTGAACCGGGGAGTTGGAAGTTGCAGTGAGCCAAGATCGCCACTTGCAATACAGCCTGAAGTGACAAGAGCAAGACTCCGTCTCAAAAAAAAAAAAAAAAAAAAAAAAAAAAAAAAAAAAAAGCATAATGACATGAAAATGTTTGTCTCAAAGAATACTCTATGCCATTAATAAATTCTCTCTCTCTCTTTCTTTTTTTTTTTTTTTTTTCTGTGAGTCTTGCTCTGGCTCTTCAGGTTGGAGTGTTTTTTTTTCTGAGATGGAGTCTTGCTCTGTGCTCCAGGTTGGAGTGCAGTGGCCAGATCTTAGCTCACCGCAACCTCTGCCTCCCAGGTTCAAGCAATTCTCCCACATCAGCCTCCCGAGTAGCTGTGACTACAGGCATGTGCGAGCCACCACGCCCGGCTAATTTTTGTATTTTTAGTAGAGACGGGTTTCCTTACATTGGACAGACTGGTCTCAAATTCTTGACCTCAAGTAAGCTGCCCGTCTCGGCCTCCCAAAGTACTGAGATTATGGGCATGAGCCACCGGGCCTGGCCTACATTAATAAATTCTTAATAGTTTTTCCTGCTACTAGTTACTAGTTTCTCTTCTCTCCAATTGACCCTCTATATTAGTGTTGACCATTAGAACTTCCTGTGATGATGGAAATGCTATCCAGTGCAGTTACAACATCTAGCTATGAAGCCATTAAGCACACGAAATATGACTATAGTAACGAAGTAACTCAATTTTTAATTTCATGTCATTTTAATAAATTTTAATTTAAATATCCACATATGGCTAATGGCTACCATATTTTACAGCACAACCTCATGACCATCATAGTCCCCAAAACAACTCTGCTGCCCTGCTTAAAAGTTTCTCCCAGATCCCATTTGAGAATGAGAGGTAGCAAAATATGCTACCCCAAAATATACTACCTTGGCATAAGCATTCTTTTGAGCTTGAGGCACTTGAAAAGAAGCAGATAAAAGAAGAACTCTGACCTTCTTCTTTCTCTTAAGAGCAGAAGATGAAATTTCTATGTGAAAGATGGCCTCACTATACCAGAAGGAAAGTAACGTTCTTATCAAGGATGAGTTGAGGCCAAGAGAATTCTGTACAACCAGACCTCGCTAAAGATTTCTTATCTTCCTTTAGCCTTCCCACACAGTTTAGTCTTTATTCAACCTACTATTTGAGCATTTAGGTTTTGCCACTTCTTTG